GCAATCCTACTTCCGTAGTGATACTGCCTCGGAAACCCAAGGAGGGGTCGCTATGAGTCGGGGCCGACTCGACGGCAAACAACAACAACAACAACAGGTTATTTCCATCTTTTTGCTGTTTTAAATAGTGCTGTGATGAACATGGGTGTGCATATATCTGTTCTTGTCCTGCTCTCACTTCTTTAGCATATATACCTGGTAAAGGGATTGCAGGGCCAAATGGTATTTCTAATTCCAGTTTTTTAAGGAATCTAAGAAAAGGCATCTCTTAATAAGCTGTCAAGAGTTCATTCATATTTCCCTTTGACCAGTTTGGCAGCCTCGGGAAGAGAACCTTGGATCCAAGAAATGGATCAGAGAAAAAATTGGGTCTGAATGTCCTTGTAATTCTGATTTACATTTCTAACCTTCTTGCATTGCCCCACATCCTTATACATTATGGACAAGGCAGGAACTCAAATTACTTCCAGATCTCAGTAAGTTAATGCCGTGAGGAGATTGTCTGAATATTCAAAGACCCAATCATTGACAAAGCAGCAGCCTAGATTCAAAACTGAGTACAGTATATGGTTTTTATTTTTCCACTTCAGGGAAGCACCATCAGTCTGCTGATTGTTCCAGCTGTGGCCACCAGGGGATAGCAGAGAGCACCATACCACAGCCCTGTCTGTGAGGTGGTAGGGAAAGAAGGTGGGAAGGAGGTAGGACAGGCAGAAGGGGGAGAGAGGCTTGGCCAGAGGTAGAGAACTGCAAGCTCAGTCTGTCAGAGGAAAAAGGAGGGGAGATGTGAGGCCTAAATAGGGATCTCAAGAGGGGATAGAAAATATTGATAATGACACCCTCAGGCAGGGTTCAGAATAAAATTCAGGGGACAAGGAAAGGAATTGGAGTGAGGCCAAACCAGGGAGACTTTCAGGGGAATCCAAAGGGTAAGGATGGGTGCTTGGGTGCACTCTGCCTAGAGTACCGTGTGCTCACTCAGCAAGGGTGCCTGGCAGCAAGACTGCTCTTCCTGGCTATCTGTACTCTTCTCGGGGTGGGTCAAGGTCTGGCTCCTCTTGAGACCTGTGGTCCACCTCAGGGGCAGGTGGCCAGGGGTTTTCTGGAGGCTGGGGTCCTGCTGGCCAGGGATCATCAGGCCGGGGAGGTTGAGGGGGATCCGTTGTGGGGGGCTCAGGGGGCCAGACTCCAGTGTCAGGCAGGTCTCTCCAGGGACGATTGTGACCTGGAGGTGGAGGGTCCTCAAAAATAGGGGGTGCCCCTGGCCAGGGGTCACCTGGGATTGGGGGGCCCTGAGGCCATGTTGGAGAGCCCTCCTCCTCATGGGTCGCTGTGGGTGGGGGAGAAGGATGGTCCTCATTGCCTAAGATGCCTGTAGGGGTGGAAGGAGAGGTAAGAGGTATGTAAGGGCCAGATCCCCCTTAGCTACGGTTCCAAAGGCACAGGTTCTCTGGAATGGTCCACAGACCCTAGGGGAGCTAATCCCACAAAGCAATCTCAAAAGTAACTCTCAAAAAGCTCTCTCACACTTATAAAATAATGATCTTAAAATGACATGAAAACTCAATGCAGATCTGAACTACTGACTTGACCAACTTTAAAGTGACACCCAAGAACCAGTCACTCCTGGGTTGGCATGGCCCCTAAGCTGGTTTGCAGCCCCAAGGTGGTCTACACCTTAGTCCCATGTGACACCTAGCTTCTACTTCCAACAGTGATCTCCACCCTCCTTAGCTTAGGAATACTCACCCGGACACCAGAATTCGGGTGTAGATCGCCACATGCAGCTAAGCCCCCCCTGAGCCAGCCCAAACACACCTTGAAGCATCATCTGACTGCGAACTCTTCCGCACATGCAAATTCCCAGAATCTGCTTCACTGCTATGCATCCCATTCACCCCCTTCCTTCTTACTTTATAGGGTACCCTGGCCTCACCCTGACCGTCCCCCATCACCCTCAAATTGCACTCTAGGCCTCTATCCCCAGCTCACCTTGGGAGCACAGGCAAAGGACCAAGATCCCCAATAGTTTCCAGCTGAGCATTGTGGATGTCTCCTGACCCCCAAAGTCGGGGGTGAGCTGTCTGGGTATCTGGGAACCCTGAGAGGCTTTATAAGGAAGGAGAGAGAGGAGGAGGCCAGTCTCTGGGGAGGGGCCAGCCCAGTGACACAAGGATTCCCATCAGAAGCTAACTGGTCAAACTCGTTTGGAAGGCCATGAGTATGTCACCTTTGACAATGGTGGCATCCCTCATTTTAGTACCCAAGCCCAGGACCCAGCTGCCCAGCTCTCCCTATCAGTGACCTAGATCCTGTTTGCATGCCCCTCTCTGTCCACACCCTGCAGCAATCAGTACCCATCTGTCATCCCTGTAATAATAAAGATATCCACGTGTCATCCCTCATGGCCGTTGGAAGCCAAAAAATTGGAGCCAACCACGCGTGGGGAAGCAGTCTAATTACAGGGCTGGCTGGCAGGCAGGATGTGTGGGCTAGGAGGCCTTTGAACCCCTGGCCGCAGCTAGGGGACCTCAGTCAGCGTAGAAGCCTCCTCACCCACTCCCACCATGAACACTCCCAGATGGGCTTAATTTTTCTCTGGAACATGGCCCCTTAGAATCCAGGAACTGCCTTCTTCAGGCATGCAGTCAGGGAGCCTCCCAAGCAGGCACATGTGGGGAATTCCATCCAGGAGCTCCAGGGGTGACAACGGATGAAGAAAACATGAGGACATCCTGATTCCTGCTCCCACCCAGAGCAGAACATCAGTCACAGCCCGGAGGTTCAGGAAGAAACGGACTCAGCCTCTCCCTGCCCCTTCCTCTCTATCCCTGCTTGCTCTTCCTCTTCCCCAGTCCTTGACTCCACCCTTCTCTGCACACCTCCTCCCTCCCCTCACCCTTGCCTCTCTCTAGGTTTCAGCTTACTTGTCTCAGTCTCTCAGAGTTGTCCCTGGAATTTTTCCCTCAAGAATGTCTCTGCCTATAGATCTAATAGGGAGCTCTGGTAGCATAGTGCCTAAGGCACTTGACTGCTAACCAGAAGGCTGGCAGTTCAAACCCACCAGCCACTCCTCGGAAGGACAATGAGGCAATCTACTTCCATAGTGATACTGCCTCAGAAACCCAAGGAGGGGTCACTATGAGTCGGATCCGACTCGACGGCACATAACAACAACAACAAACTGCTATCAAGTCAATTCTGACTTCTATCGATTCCCACTGGATTTTCAAGGCTATAAATCTTTACAGAAGTAGACTGCCTCATCTTTCCTCTGCAGAATGGCTGGTGGGTTTAAAGCATCAACCTTTTGGTTAGCAGCCAAATGCCTTAACCACTGCACCACCAGAGCTCCTTAATAAGGCTCTCAGAAGACAAAAATAGAACTTGATTCATCCCCAAGTTATCCCCTACCTGGTCTACTCCACCACAGTGAGGGCTACCCCTTCTGTGGCTCAAATGGAAAACCTTTGTTCCTCTTCTCATATCCCTTCCTCATCCCTACCCAACCTATGTGCAAGCCTGCCTACAGCGCACAGCACACACCGAACACAGCCACTTCCCCTGAGACCGAACAGCCACTCTCTCCTCCCTAAACCTGTTGCCACTCAGTGGATTCTGCCTCATGGCCATGCTATGTGTTACAGAATTGCTCCGCAGTTTTCTTGACCATAGTCTTTATGGAAGCAGATGGTCACACATTTCTTCCTCAACACCGTAGAAATTACTAGTCCACACAAATCATTTGTCCCTAACAAAAATCAACCACTCCCAACAAAAAAACCAAATGCACTGCAGTCGAGTCGATTCTTACTCAGTAACCCTTCCTTGGCTTCTGAGGTGTTTCTCTACAGAAGTAGATTGCCCAGTCTTCCTTCCAAGGAGTGGCTGGTGGATTTGAACTGCCAGCCTTCTGGTTAGCAGTCAAATGCTGTAGGCACTAGGCCACCGAGCTCTCTGCCCATCAACACAATTCTGACTCTTAGAGACCCCAGAGAACACAGTAAAACTACCTCACAGGATCTCCAAGGCTGTCAATCTTTATAGAAGCAGACTGCCTTCTCTCTCTCCCACAGAGCAGCTGATCAGTTCTAACTAATGACTTTTTGGTTAGCAGCTGAATGCTTTAGCCACCGTGCCACCAGAACTCTTTAAGCAACCCTAGACTCCCCCCAAAATCCTCCTAATTGGGTCTCCTTGTTCAATTCCATCACAAACAAAAATAAACCAAATTCACTGCCGTTGAGTCGGAGCCGACTCAGTGATCCCTCCTTGGGTTTCCGAGGCAGTATCACTACAGAAGTAGATTGCCCAACCTTCCTTCCGAAGAGTGGATGGTTGGTCTGAACTGCCAGCCTTCTGGTTAGCAGTCAAATGCCTTAGGCACTACGCCACCAGAGTTCCATCACATTATTGTATTTTATTTTCTCTTCATAGTAGTTAACTATTGTTTGATATTGTTCACTTATCCAAAAAAATAAAAACCCAAACCCACCACCACAGAGTTGATACTTATAAATGGCAACTCCATGTGTTACAAAGTAGAACAGCTCCATTGGTTTCCTTGCCTATAACCGTTACAGAAGCCTTTCTTCTGTGGTGCTATTGCGTGGATTCAACCTGCAAACCTTAAGGTTAGTAGTTGAACATAAACCATTTGTTTACCCATGGATCTTAGATGCTTAAATACGGTCGTCTCTCCCCACTAGGATGTAAGGCTGTGGGAGCAGGCACTCGGCCATCAAGCCTACGCCTGCAGCCTCAGCCAGCACACTGTCTGGTGAATGACTGGATGCATCCTCTTCTTTACTCCTGGCATTTATCAACTTCTAGGGGTAAAGAGTTTTAGAGCAAAAGATGAAGACAAAGACAATCTGGAGCCTCTCAAAGCTTCCAAGGCAGCCCAGCAAAGGGGTTTTCAAAAGGAACTGTCTAGAGAAAGCTAAATGAGCTTTCCTCATGTCTCCAGGAAAAGAGCTGACTGGTAGGAAGGATTCCCTCTCATCCCCAGACATGACAATTGCAAACAATGGCTCTTACGGTACTCATCTTTATTGAGCACAGGAGAATTCACAGATTCAGGTGGTGGCCAAATGGGGAAGAGGGCTGGCAGCCTGCCCCACGTCTCCAGATCCTCCTTGATCCTTCCAATCCTCCCTTTCAGCAGTGGACTGCAGCAGGAGAGTTCTGGCTGTCTCCTTGACACAGACCTTCCTCTTTGGCAATGGTCTCAGTCAGGCCCTGCAGGTCATCAAGCAGAGCAGAGAGGGACCCTGGGAAAGAAGATGCCAAGAATAGGAAAGGACAAGAGGAGGCTCCCGCAGTGACTGTGCAGAAGGAACAGGGCTAACGCCAGCTATGAGGGTCATGAGGGAGAAGGTTCTCTGGTCCCCGGTGAGTGTGGATAAAGAAGGCTACGGACCCCCAAGGATCACAGAGAGTACCGCTCATGCACCCAAGAGTATCTGGAGGAGAGATTCCTGTAGTTCCTTCATGCCTGAGCCCTTACCTTTTATGGGGTCCCTGGAGGAGGGTGCCACTGCTGGAGATGTAGATGCCAGGGGAGCTGACGGTGCTGAAGATCCTGGAGGCCTGGGAATGGACTCCACAGCCTTCTCCTCATCCAGTAAAGAAGGAAGGACTGCCGAGAGCCGCTGCTGCTTGTGACGGGAGAGGAGACCCTCCTGCCGCAAGGTGGCCTAGGAAGAAGAGTGTGAAATGCCACCTAACCCAGTAGAGGCCTCCCCCTCCTCTTTCCCTCTGCCCTCCAACTAGCCCACAAGGGGCCCTAGTCTGTGTCCCCTACCAGCATGAGGTTCTTATCTCTCTCCAGCTCCTGAAGCCGCCTAGTCAGCCGCAGCCCCTCCTCCCTGCGGGCTTCATCTTGCAGCTGCCTGAGCTCCTGGTTCCGTTCTTTTTCTCGGGCAGCTTTGTGCTGCATCTGGTGCAGGGAGACCACTATGGAGAAGCCAGGGCACAGAGGGGGCAGGGTGGGACAGCCCTGTGAGGCAGTGAGACCCCATGAAAATCAGACTAGCATGACAGGCAGAAACACTAGGTCACCAGCTCTGTGATAAGGGGCAGTCACTTGCGTTATGAGGGCATCTGTCTCTCTGTATAGTGGGAGGGTGGGCTAATGCTCTAGGAGCCTATGAGTCTCTAAAGCCAAAGTACCTTCTCTATCCACAAACCATGCCAAAGTCGCTTAGGAGAAGATGGAATATGAACTGGATATTAAATTCGGGGTAATTAGTTTTCATTTTCTTAAAATGTGATCTGGCATTGAAGTTACATAGGAAAATTCCTATTTGTGGGCAATGCAGCTGAAGGGTCATCATGATTTTACAACTGTAAAATGTTCAGAAAGATCATTATATAAATGTGTATGAAGACAGATAAAATGTGGCAAAAGGTTTACTGCTGCCTAGAGGTCTAATGAGTCTCTCAGAAGTAATGTGTCCCAAATACCCATGTCACTTTAGGTTTTTTGTATTTCACTATACATAAATTATATTCCAATAAAATGCATTGAAAAAAAAGTAATGTGTCCCAAAGAGAACTCAATTCTTCCACAAGCTGTCTCCCACTACTCAAGAAAACCAAACTCACTGCCATCAAGTCGTTTCTAACTCATAGCAACCCCTCCTTGGGTTTCTACGGCAGTATCTCTACAGAAGTAGATTGTCCAATCTTCCTTCCAAGGCATGGCTAACGGTTTGAACTGCCAGCCTTCTGGTTAGCAGTCAAATGCCTTAGGCACTATGCCACCAGAGCTCTGTCCCCCACTAGATATCCCCAATTCTATCTTAGAAGAAGTACAGCCAGAATGCTCCTTAGAAACAAGAATGGCCAGACTTTGTCTCACATACTTTGGTCATACTGTCAGAGGGGGCTAGTCCCTGGAGAAGAATATCATGCTTGATAAAGTAGAGGGTTAGTGAAAAAGAAGAAGACCCTCAATGAAATGCATTGACACAGTGGCTGCAATGATGGGTTCAAACACAGCAACGAGCATGGTGCAGAACCGGGCAATGTTTCATTTCATTGTATGTAAGGCCACTATGAATTGGAACCAACTTGCTGGCACGCAACAACAAGATGTCCCCACGTGCATCTAGTTAGAGAAAGTATATGGATATTCTTTATACTATTTTTTCAACTTGTCTAGGTGTTTGAAATTTTTCTTAATGAAACTTGAGGAGTTAATTGCTGAATTGGTGTATGTTTTGCTGTGTATATTCTGAACAACAAAAAAGATAAAATTTTTTAAAAAAAGCTGAGGGGTAATCTTTGGTGTTAGATCGGGATGGTGGTTGCCTTTGTGTCAGGGGTAATGACTGGTGGGGCATGGGGGGCTCTGGTATTGACCACGTTCTGCTCCTTGATCTGGGTGTCAGTGACATGGGTATGGTGTGACACGTGAAAATTCATCTACGCCCATTCTTTGTCTATCTCATTAGTTGTATATGGCAATAACGTCTTCAGAAAGTTTGGGGGGAGAATAACCCATCTCAACACCTCCTTCACAGTAGGCCCATGTCTACCCTTGCAAATCTCACCAGCCTTGGCATGCTCCTTCCGCGCTTCATTCAGTCTCCTCTCCATTTCTGACAGCTGTTCCCGCAGCCGAGTTTCCACCTCGGCCACCTTCTCTTGCAGAGCTGGGGTGAAGGTGCAGATGGGATTGGGTGTGTCGGAGGAACCGTGGCTTGCAACTCCCACCTTCACCCCCAACCCTTGCAAAATGTACCCTCTTCCCCTCCACCACACCTTGCCCGTAGATCTCCTGCTGCTGGGTCAGCTCTCGCCGGAGGCTGGCAGCCTCTTCTGTGCTCTCCTGCTGGCCTTGGCGAGCCACCTCCAGCTGCAGCCCCACGCTGGCCAGGGATTCCTGGGTTTGCTGTAGTTCCTTCTCCAGCTGCTGAGCAACCTTGCTGAGCTGCTGCCGTTCTGCCTCCCCTAGAGGAGGTGGCACTGAGCTGCAGCCTCCCCGTGGCCACTGCATTGATACCCAGGCCTCTCCACACCCAGACCACAGATGTGCCTCCTATCCATATCCCCACTGCACCCAACACTGGCCCCTGGGGACGCAGAGCCAGGTGTACCTTGCTCCCGAGCCCGGCCCACCTCCTGTTGGATGAGGTGGGCACTAAGCTGCAGTTCTGCATCCAGACGGTCTCGCTCTTCCCGCAGCTGCTGCAACTCAAGGTTCACATCTGGGGCTGGTGGGGGTAGAGGTGGGGGTAGGGATGGGGGGCAGCTACGAAAAGAAGAGGCAAAGTCAGGAGAGCCCACCCAGCACCAACCCCCATTCCCCTGACCACCTGTAATCCTCAGTGCTTTGGGTCCTAGCAACCAAAGCTCACTCTCTTCGCCCACAGATCCAGACGCCAAACTTTACCTCTCCTGGCGCAGCTGAGCAAGGGCCAATTTCCGAGCCACCAAGCCTGGGTGGGAAAAAGAGAGCAACAAAGAAATGAGATTTCAGGGGAAAAAAAAGAGGAGATGGGGGACAGATATAGGATTGGAGCGAGCTGGGTCAGGACAAAGAGGGTCAGAGCTGGTGGAGCGTGGGCAGGAGGCATGTCACAGTGGGCCTACCCACCCTGAATAGTGTGGACCTTGCGAGCAGCATAGTTGAGTCGGTTGTTGAGGCTGGGTAGCCGGGCGACAGCCTGTTCCACCCCGGCCATGGTGTTCTGGAACCAGATCTGAGAGCTGGAGAAGGCACAGGTCACTGACCCTTCAGCCCTCACCTCATTCCCAGATAGCCGTGTTAGGCCTTATATAGATAACTCACTCTATGCTGAGCTGTTATACAAGAGAGGAGAATAGGCAAGGGGAAACAGGAGCAGGAAGAGAAGCTGGAGCCAAGGGCAAGGTCAAGCCTATAATGCACATGCCTCATTTGTCGGCCCTTTGCCAAGGGTGCTACAAACCTGTCTTCCTGTCCCAGCCCCTTCACAGACTAAAGGAAAGCAAAGAACCTGAGCACTGAGATCCTTTAGTGACTGTCACATACAAATGATCCAACTCCACAATTTTTAAAACACCACAGGAAAACACAGAAAAATTGGTTAACCCACACAAAGCATACACAGTTAAAATGTTGGATTTTTTTTTTCCAGCAGGTATCAGTTGTAAATAAGAATGAACTGGGGGCTAAAATGGAAAACCAACAACGAAGCAGCTACCTTTAGTTAGTAACTTCTAGTTTGAACTATAACTGAATAATGCAGCTTTGTATGTATTATTTTATATTGTACATTCTTCATTACTGATGGCTTGGAGTCACAAAGGGAATTCCATAGTTTTTAATGTCACAGAAATGAGACTAATCTCAAAAGTAACATATCAGTTAATGTGAATGCCTTTATATATTAAGATAGCCTTAAATCTTTTTCTCTTTTGCCTTAACTCTCAAATTATTAAAAGCACAGGATTATAATCAGTCTGCTAGACTGACAGGTAAACACTGACGCAGTTTATGAGCAGTTTGTGTGTGGACCACTAATTGTGGTACGAATCACTTTCATATGGCCTTGTAGCCATGGTCTTGTAACTCCTGCCAAATGACTGGGTAAGACTATGCAAATAAGGTGCTTGTGGCCCACCAAAGGGATTATTAGACAGCTTGCTAATAATACAAATAAGGTGCATGACACACTTGTGGGGGTGGGACTTTGCAAAAAAAAAGGTATATGGAACCCTAATGAGGGGACTGGTCAGTTTTGCCATCCTGTTAGGCTTAAAATGAACCACCCCAGAGGTGGAAAAAGGGAACCTCACTACCACCAAGAAGAGACCAGAGCGTACTATGTCCTTTGGACCCAGGGTACCTGTGATGAGAACCTCCTAGACCCAGGTGACAAAGACAGCTACAACACCAGAGATAGTGAAAGACGGTGAGAAGCAGAGACAGCAGAACAACATGAGCATGTGACAACAGAGGTGTGGGAGTTCAGTTTGTGTGTCAACTTGGCTGGGCCTGGTTGAGTGGCTGAGAGCCTGTAGCATTCCCCAAGATGAGACTCCATGGTGGAATCTACTTGAGCAGGTGAGCAGGTGCCTTAGGGATGTGGTCTGCTTCCTATATATAAGGAGAAGGCTTGCAGAACAGTCTCTAGCTTATGACATGCTTGAATCCTACATGTAGTCATGTCATTGTTCAGCAGCCTGCCATGCTCTGCTGACCTTGGGACTTTCAATGGACTTGAAATAATGGCCTGCCATGTGGTTTGGTAACATTGGGACTGTGCCTTTTTAACTTGTCAACCTTGGACATGTCAGTCTCAGCAGCCATCAGCTGTCTGAGTGAAGAAAAGCCTCTAGCCCCAGTGGGCCGGGAGCAGGAGGCAGAGCTAAAGCCCAGGGTTGAGGGGCTTTCACTCAGCCCCTAGAGCTTGGTGTGTGAACTTGGACTTAAAGCCCCAAAACTGTAAGAAAATAAACTCCTGTTTGCTCAAGCATCCCATTTGTGGTATACTCTTATCGAAGTGGCACCAGGTAACCAGAACAAGTGGCACGAGACACGTGGCATGAGACAACACAGTAGGCTTCCTAACCCATGGAGCAAGGCAGTTACAGTGGATGTGTGAACCTACAGAATGAGAGCTGCATCTATGGGGTGAGGCTTATGGGGGGGGTGCTTACTGGAGAAGTTAAAGAGCTTTGTAACATTGGCCCAGAGGGCAGAGGCCTGGCCAAGGGGCTGAGAGGCCAAGGGCCAAAGAAAAGTCTGACCTCCTCTAACTTCACAAGAGGGAAGAATTAAGGTCAGCAGCCTAGGGCTGATTCCTATGAGGCAGAAGTTAGACATACCACCTCTCTTCAATGCTTTTATTCCCCCCGCCCCATGGTAGTTATGTTGTGTGTCAACTTGGCTGGGCCTGGTTGATGGCTAGGCAGCTGGATGTAGTATTCCCCATGATGAGACTGGCAATCAACTCCATGGTAGAATCTACTGGGAGCAACTGAGTAGCTGCCTTTGGGTATGTGGTCTGCTTCCTGTATATAAGGAGAAGCTTTGAGAATGGTCTCTAGCCTTTGGTACGCTTGGACCCTGCATGTAGCTGTGTCGTTGCTCAGCAGTCTGCTATGTTCTGCCGACCTTGGGACTTACAGTGGACTTAAGTTAACGGCTGCCATGTGGATTGGTAACATTGGGACTGTGCCTTTTTACTTGTCAACCTTGGGGCTTCTCAGCCTCAGCAGCCAGCAGCTGAGTGAAGAAATGCCTCTAGCTCCAGTGGGCCTGGAACAGGAGGCAAAGCTGGACCCCAAGGTTGAGGGGCTTTCATCCAGCCCCTAGAGCCTGGCACTTTGAACTTGGACTTAAAGCCTCCAAATTGTAAGAATAAACTCCTGTTTGTTAAGGCCATCCCATTTGTGGTATATTTCTTGTCAGAGAGGCCTAGGTAACCAGAATACCCCCCTCATGTTTTTAATAACTTGTGGGGGTGGGACTTTGCAAACTGCAGTACTAAACACCAGCTAACATGTAACTCCAAACAGGATTTGATTAACTAACCAAGTACACGTTTCTTTAAGTTACTCCACTGTCCTTTGCTTGGAGGCAATGCCATGCATATTTTATACAGCTGCTATTTTTAAAATTTAGTTTGCATTACTTTTACACCTTAAATGGAGAGCCAAACACTTCCCTCTTCAGCCCCTTAATGGCTCCTTAATTTCACTAGAAGGAAAAAAAAAAATTTTCTTATGAAAACTGGTATTAACTGGCACTTAAGATCAGAAAACAATTCTCTGTACTAAAATCTTAAAATGCTATCTGCCTAAAGCTTTTAGACAGTAATACTTACTGCAATACTACTGAATTTTTGTAGAATCGTTACATTTGATTAAAAAAAAAAAACTTGTCTGTTTAATGTGGGGGAAAAAATAAAACCAACTATCCAGTTCCTCAAAAGAAAAACACAGCTACCCCTGATACCCAAACTTATGTTAAGTTTCTCATTTATGCCTAGCAATGTCTTTAATAGGAGCTCTGGTAGCATAGTGGCTAAAGCACTTGACTGCTAACCAGAAGGCTGGCAGTTCAAACCCACCAGCCACTCCTCGAAAGGAAGGTTGGGCAATCCTACTTCCGTAGTGATACTGCCTCGGAAACCCAAGGAGGGGTCACTATGAGTCGGGGCTGACTCGATGACACATAACAATAACAATAAATTTTTAAAGAGAAAAAAAGAAAAAGGTAAAAAAAAAAAAAGGAGAGAGAGAAAGAGGAAGACAGAGGTGGGAGGAAGTTAGAAAGGAAAAAAGACAGAAAGGCAAGAAAGAACAATCAAACATCCAGACCCAACCAAGTATCCTGTAACTTCTAAAGCTGGAATTCCTCCCAGGTGCTCTATAAACTCCAGCTGAGGAAGCATTCCCTTATTACCCTCAGCCAGAATAGTCTGAGAAGTTCATAGCAACTGTTCTCCATGCAAATGTGGAGGGCGTTGCCCCAGGAAAAACAAACCCAGAGACTTTTATAGCAATGGATGCCTCTAACCCTGTATCCTCCACATCCACCAGCCTTCCATCCCCTCCTCCCTGAGGCTCTCAGAGGCAAAGTGCCCTGGAAGCTAAAAAGTGGAAAACAATTCCATCCTAAACCTCCTTCCCAGTTACCTGCACACAATATTGATCACCAGTTTAATCTGCTCCTCAGCCACGGCCATCTGCTGCTGCTGCCGGCGCCGGGCCTCCACAGCACGGCTCAGCTCCCCCTGCAGGGCCTGGGAAGCACTAGTGTTAGCACAACGTGCCACCCCCCCCCCCAGACCCATCTGTCCGGTAGCCTCAGGCCATCTCAGACTCTGACCTTGGCGCCAACTCGCTCCACCTCCACCTCCGCAGCCTTGTCCTGCAGGGAGCGCTGCAGGATGGCCTGCTCCTGGCTCTGCTCTGCAACTTTACATTTGAGCTCGGCCACCTGAGGAGAGGAGAGAGGCTGAGGCCAGGCACCTCTGCAGCCCAAAGCTGCAGGGGGCCACTGGTGATGAAGGGGCTGGGACAAAGTTGTTGAAAGAATGCCATGCAGGGAGACAAGAAGCTTGGGTTCCTGAGGGTATGGCCACTTTCATTCCTGAGAGTCCTTTATGTGCCCAAACCTTAAGGAACTGCCCCATGAACCCCCATCGAGGACATGCCACCTCTGACTGTATCACCCATCCTTAGACATGTCAACTCCTCAGAGAGGCGTTGCCTGACCATCCCAACAACGGCTGCTGCCACCCCACAGTTTCTACCTGTCACATTACCTTAATTTTTCTTTACAGAACACACAAGTGCTTGACATCATCAGACTGCTTACTTGCTTACTGTGTGCCTCCCCTCTAAAATGTAAGCTCCAAGAGAGCAGGTACCTGGCCTGTCCTTGCCTGGGGCTGTATCCCCAGCATATGGTAACCATTCAATACATTTTTGTTGACTAAATGAACACCTTCTCATGATGTAAGGAGCAAAGGGTTGGCAGGGGCAGGGAAGGGAATCATGGGGAGAAAAAGTGTCAAGTCACCTACCTGTCCCTTCAGCTGCTCCGCATACTCTCTGTGGCCCAGCTCCTGGGACTTCAGCTGCACCATGAGGGCAAACACCTTCTCCCGCCAACAGGTCAGCAAGGACTGGAACTTCTTGGTGAGCTCGGGCTCCAGGGAATTGGAAGGCTGAATCTATGGTGGGAGGAGGCACAGGAGTGTGGGCTCCCGGGGGTGGGGAGGAAGGATGGGGCAGCCTTTGTTTTTTCTCTGGTCCACCCTGAGCAACAGGGGCCACAGCAAGAAGAGGAGTTCAGGGAACACTACTGGTTGGTTCTACAGCACACAGGAAGTGGATGAAGCTGAGGACAGAAGGTACAGGATCCAGGAGGTAGAAAAAGGGCCCCTACCTTCCTGGTCAGCTCCTCCTCCTGGAGGGTGAGGATGTAGGTAAGGCTCTGCACGCGCACCTGCAGCAGCTCAGCCGTGGTGTGCAGGGCGTCCCGGTCCTCCTGCAAGCACTGTGGGCAGGAGACGAGCCACATTGTAAGGTCTCCTGGCTTGCCCTCTCGCTCAGCCTAGGCTCTCTGGCAGCTGGTCTCTGTGCCCTCCTTACTCCCAGGAGCCACTCCAATCCCAGGACCTGGTCCCCGAGTCCTCACATCCCACCCAGACCACCCCTACACAAACACAGATGCACCCCAGCACTCTCACCTGGACGGTTTCCAGAAGCTCCTGACGCTCCAGTTCCCAAGCCTGGCTGCGGATCTCTGAAGGGACTTGCTCCCCGACATATGTCCTTAGATTCTCAACCAGGGTCACCTGCGCCTCCAAGTCTTCTTTAGTCTTGCTGAGGTTGTGGTAGAAACAGGTAGGCTATCAGTAGGGTATCCTGGAGATCCACCAAACCCACCAACTGCTGGCCTCCTCTGAGATGGCCCACTCTCAACCCACTAACCTCAGCTGCTTCCGCAGCAGCTCAGCCTCCTTCTGGGACATGGCCAGCTCTTTGGCTTCCTCTGCCCGCCTGGTTTCCAGGCTATTCAAAGACTTCTCCAAACCCTCAGCCTTGCTGGTCAAACTAGAAAGAGCCTCCTGGTGAGCTGCCGTTAAGCAAGAGAGCTATGGAGAGAAAGCAGGGCTCAGCCAGGCCAGCCAACTTCCACTTCTATACTTTCCCCAACTCACTGCCATTGAGTCAAACCCGACTCATAGCGAGTCCTCCTTGGGTTTCCCAGGCGGTATCACTACAGAAGTAGATTGCCCAACCTTCCTTCCGAGGAGTGGCTGGTGGGTTTGAACCACCAGCCTTCTGGTTAGCAGTCAAATAAATACCTTAGGCACTATGCTATCAGAGCTTCTATGTCCCACCTCCTCCTAAACTGGTGAGGCTGTCTTCTTGGATGAGCTTACAGTCCAGTAGGGAAGACACATTAAACTATTAATTACTTGTAATTAGTTAACTGCACCCTCATCTCTAGCCAGGATCACTGCAACAATTTCCTAATGAGTTTTATACACCTTCAATGGCTTACCACCCCAAGGTCATAAAAGAACTCAGCCATGTTTTCTTCCAGCACCTTTATGGTTTCATTGTTTAACACTTTGTTAAGGTGCTATCTTAGTTCTCTCAGGTGGTATCTAAGTTCTCTCATGCTGCCGTAACAGACATACCACAAGTGGGTGGCTATTTATTTTCTCACAGTTTAGGAGGCTTGGACATCTCCATGTGTCTTGGGATCTATCATACCCCATCTCCCTCTCTCTGTTCTCTTGTTTAATCTTTTATATCTCAAAAGAGATTGACCTAAATTATACCCTACACTAACCCTGCATCGTTAGCATAACAAAAACAACCTGTTCCCAAATAGATAATACCAAAGGCATAAAGCCAAACCCACAGCCATCAAGTTGATTCCAACTCATAGTGACCCTCATTGTGTTTCCAAAGCTGTAAATCTTTATGGAAATAGTATTGCCTCATCTTCCTCTCTCAGAGCAGCTAGTAGGTTTGAACCACCGACCTTCTGGTTTGTAGCTGAATCCTTACCCACTGTGCCACCAGAGATCCTTATCACAAGCATAGAGATTAGGATTATAACGCATATTTTGGGGGGACACAATTCAAGCCAAAACAAGCAGTCTTCCCTAGCCTTTCCATCTAAACTAGGTTTCCTCGCCCTTCTCCCCCACCCCATCACTTCCATATGACCTGGGTCCTGGAGTGAAGCAGGAAGGCAAACTATAAAAGTCCTGGAAGAGGAAGAAGGACATAAAGTTGTGGGAGAACACCTGAGTCCTGGGGAATAAGTGGAATCCAAGTAAGGCCAAAGCACCCAAGTTCTCCTTCCTTCTCCTTCTTGGTCACTAGAGATCTCACACCACTCCACTCACAGAAAGGGGCCTTTTCTGTGATACCTCTGCTCTTTGCTGAGAAGCTACTGCCCAGTTCATCCTATTGAGAAGCTGAGCTCTTCCCATCCCAGCAGTCACCTGTTCTTGGTGCAGCCTCTGAACTTCTTCCAGCTCCCGCTGGCTCCCCTCTTCCAGGTTCTTCCGGATGACCTCAGCTCCAGCTAGGGCGGCCCGAAGGCCCTCGGCCTCAGCTTGGCCAGCCTTTTCCGCCCGCGCCAGAGCCTCCAGCTCCATGGCCTGAGACTCCAGCCTTATTTTCTGTTGCAGTGAGGTCTCCCGCAAGAGCCAGACCTCCTCCTCATACCGCCGTAGCTCTTGCAGCTGCCGAGAGATCAGCTCAGCCTGCTGGGTCAGAGCCTGAGACCCCTCCAAGGACCTTCAAAGACAGGTTCACATAGGTGAGATGTGTTTCTGGTGCTGGAAGAGTAGACAGACACCTGGGCCTCTCTGCTCCCATCGAGAGACACAGGAGACAGGAGGCAAAGGAGAAGATTCCTCTTTTCCCATGTGGGGAGGTAGGGGCATGAAGAAGATAAGTCATGGGACTTCTGCAGAGGCGGCATGAAGAATATTATACAAAGATACATGCGCCTATATCACTATCATCCTTCATCGGGGCTCTAAGCATATTGGGTCCACTGTCTGCACTCACAGAACCTAAAAGCTAGCTGAGGTCATGGAGCATATATACCTACAGTGCCATATATACATATGTTAAACATCAAATATACACAAAGGTCATGGAAGAGGAGGAAAGCAGGGAAGAGGTATGAGTAGAGTCCCATCATTAGGATGCACATACTGAGTCGAAAAGCTGGAAGAACACTTATAGACTTCTGGATTCTGACTTAAGAGTAAGAAGAAGTTTGGAGAAGGAGCAGGGGTACAGAAGTCATGAGCTTCTAGTATCAATGAGCTTCTAGTATTAATGTGGTAAGGCCAAAAATTAGTAAAAAATGTTTACTGAGTATTCAGTACACTACATGAACAGTCAAAGGTAATGATATTGTACATCAACAAATTACGTAGTCCCTACTTTTAAATAGTATACTCTCTATTGGTGTTGAGAGCTCTGATGGCATAATGCCTAAGGCATTTGACTGCTAACCAGAAGGCTGGAGGTTCAAACCCACCAGCCACTCCTCAGAAGGAAGGTTAGACAATCTATTTCCATAGAGATACCGCCTCGGAAACCCAAGGAGGGGTTGCTATGAGTCAGATCTGACTCAAAGGCAGTGAGTTTGGTTTTTTTGGTTCTACTGGTGTAAGGTAAAGTTTAAACTAACTTATAACAATGCTCTTGAGACAACTTCTTCACTGAAGCCCAAAACAAAAGGATTTTCCAGAAGTGGCAGGGATCTGTGGCCTACAGAAATTAAAGTGACTGGCCAAAGTTCTGCCAGCTGATAACTAAACTAGCATTAGAGGGTCTCCATCTCCTGACACCCGGTCTAGGTCTCCCCCTTCTTCATCATGTTCCTTCCTCTTTGATGGGGTCCAAGGCAGACTCACATGTAAGCCCACGCTAGAGCAAAATGGCAGAATGACATTCCAGTACATTAGGGGAAAACATATGAAACAAGAATTTTTACAGATACCTAACAAGAGGCAAAATTATGATAACCTCTTAGCCATAGTGAACCACCCTCAGGGAGCCAGTAGTTGAACCTGTGGGCTCAGGACCATGGTCACACAGGACATCAAGCTCAATTGGCATAGATACTACACAAAAACATTGTTCTACATCCTACTTTGGTTAAGTAGCAACTGGAGTCTTAAAAGCTTGCAAGCAGCCATCTAGATGCAACAATGGATCTCTCCTCACGCAGAGCTAATAAAAATGAAGAAAACCAAAGATACATGGAAGCAAGCAGTCCAAGGAACTAGTGGACCATGTGAACCTCAGCCTATACGACCATGAGACCAGAAGAACTAGATGGTACCTGGCTACCACTGTCAACCATTCAGAAAAGAATCAGCATAGGAGATCCTGGATAAAGTGGGCGAACAATGTGGAACAAAACTCAAAATCATATAAAAGACCAAATTTACTGGTCTGATAGAGTCTGATGAGACCCCTGAGACTATGGCCCCCAGTGACCCTTCAGGTCTGAAATTAAACTCACTCCCATGGCTTCCAGCCAAACAACAGACAGGTATATAGGGTGAACGTTTACATCAGGTAACTACACTCCTTAGAACGATCAATCATGGGAGAACAGAAGGGCAGTATTTACACAGAGAGATAGCTCAGGGGGCAAGAATGCATAGGAAAGAAGAACACAGGGAAGCAGTAACTCCAGAGAAGTTGTTGTAAAAGAGCTGTTACACTGTGGGGAATTGCAGTAGATATCATGAAACAAAATATGTATGAACTGCTGTACAGAAAATGAATTTGCTCTGTAAACTTTCACCCAAATCGTAATAAAAGTTTAAAAAAAAAAAGAAGTTTTACAGACAACACATAAACAAATAGCATGGTCAGCTCTAATTTCATTTCATGCCCTTTGTAGAAGTTTTCAACTACTCCATCAAAATGAATATATACTACCACAGTTATTATCTATTGTCAAATCAATTCCAACTCATAGCAACCCAATGTGACAGAGTAGAACTGCCCCATAGGGCTTCAAAGGCTATAAATCTTTACAGGAAGCAGATCACCAGTCTTTCTCCTGCATAGCCATTGGGAGGGTTCAAACTTCCAAGGTTTCAATTGGCAGCCAAGTGCTATACCACTATGTCACGAGGGCTCCTTCACTACCATAGTACTGAGCCTATGCTCCTGATCTGCACTTCTTCATGCGTATTAGGATCAGATGTTAGCCAATCTATCTCCTGCCCTAAGATTTTCATTTCCTCAATATTAGGAGGTTTCATTCATTTTTGTTATCCCCATCCCTAGGATGGTAGTTAAGGTTGTGTGTCAACTTGGTCCATGATTCTAAGTGGCTCAGCAGTTGGGATGTAGTTATTCCCCATGATGAGACTGGATATAATGTAATCACCTCTATGATGAGATCTGCTATGAGGACTCAATCAGTTGAAAAGGAGTTACTTTCGGGGTATGACCTGCTGCCAGTATGTATGGAAAAGCTTTGGGAACGATCTCTGGCTTTTTGCTTATTTTGGATCCTGCATTCGGCTTGTCATGGAGATCTCCAGTTCCTGGACTTGAACCAGTGGCCTGCCATGCTGCCTGCCAATCTTGGATTGTTGCCTTCACAGCCCGCAAGCCAACAATCAGCCATTTTACCTGCCCATCTTGGATTGGGCAGCCTCTTAAACCAGCAGCCTGTTATATTGCCTGCCTAGCTTAAGTTCATCAGCCCCTGCAACTACATTAGTCAAGAGAAGGCTCCAGCTTGATGTTTGATCCATGGACTTGGGATATGCCTGCCTCTACAACTACATGAGCCATTTCCATGAGATCAATTTCTCTCTCTCTCTTTCTATATATATAAATTCATATACATATATATATACACACACACATATATATATATATACATAAAGCTTCACTGGTTTTGCTTCTCTAGAGAACCAAGCCAAAGACACCTAGCTTCTAGCACACTGCCGTATTATTTAAGTGTTATTGTTGTTGTTATTATGTGCCTTCAAGTCAGACCCGACTCACAGTGACCCCTCCTTGGGTTTCCAAGACGCTATCACTACAGAAGTAGATTGCCCAACCTTCCTTCCAAGGAGTGGCTGGTGGGTTTGAACCGCCAGCCTTCTAGTTAGCAGTCAAGTGCCTTAGGCACTACACTACCAGAGTTCCTTGTATGCACCCAATAATTTCTTATGTAAATATGAATTATGGAGCCAAGGGCTGAAACAGGATATGATGAAGGGTCAACAGCAAGCAAGCCTGAGAAAAACCACTGATGATAGATTCCTACCTGACTCTTCGCCCTGGCTCCTGCCCATCACCAGAAGCATCCCGTTCCCAAGTGGCCACTTGAGGTCTAGAAGCATCCCGTTCCCAAGTGGCCACTTGAGGTCTCAAGTTGTCTAGCCGACTCTCTGAGACATCCTGATGGACTGGGGATTGGACCAGAGAAACGTTTGAGACCCAGCTGGGAGCCATTCTTGGCAGAGTTGGAAGGGACCGAGCTTGGAAGTGAGATGGGGGAATGAGCCCAGTGGAACCTGAGGAATCACAAGGACACAGATGGTCAGTTTCCCAGGGAAAGGCAATCGCCAGTCCCCTGCCTGATCCCACTCACCTGAAGGCCGCAACATCTCCACATGATTTGAAGGCTCCAGATTCTGTCTCCAGCCATCCGTGTTCCCCTGGCATATGGAGAAACAAGGACATTCCAATTCAACTTTTAGGCCTACTTCCAAAGAGAAAGACTACAATAACAAAGTCATCCTCCTTAAAAAGCACCCAGGTCCACCTCACTCTCAGCTCCTCTTATTTCCCAAAAGGAGATGCCCCAAGATTATTTGTTAACCCAACCAAGTTGTCCCAACCTAGTTACTGGCAGACTCTGGCAATAACCATATATGGAAGGAATTTACTGAGAGAGACAGACTGAGGAGGGATGCTCTTAGGTTCTACCAATACTTTTAGGATTCTGGGCAGTGCCTTTACCCTCTTCCTTAATCTTCTATAGTCCCTGCCGGTCCTGCGCATGGAAGCCATGGAGCCCCGGGGCTGCAAGCCCATTCTCCAGAGCTCTCTCCACGGTTCACCAAGGCCTTGGGGAAGCCCATCCAGACACCACCAACCCAAAACTCCTGGGTCCTTCCCTATAAAAGCACCAGCCCAAGGCCTGGTCCCAGACGAACGTGGCCACATGTGGAGCTAAACGCCTCTCCAGGATCCCTGGGAATACAGCTAGCCTAGGTACCTAAGCAGAAATGCCAGCTTTCTGCCATCTCATCCAAATTCTCCCTGCAACTTTCCTCTCAATTTCTTTCTACTGTCCCCTCAGCTTCCACTCCTGTTGTCCACTGCCCCCTTCTCCAGAGAACTAGAGCATACAGGGAACTCTTCAAGATCTTTCCCCTACCATCCCAACCCAATTCATGTATTTTTTCCTTTATCGGGATTCCTACTCCCGCTCCTCTCTACATCCTAATCTGCTTTTATCCTGAAGGAATTACGGGGGCTCTTCACTCTCACCCTCATCTCCCAACTCAGCTTGCTGTTCCCTGCACTCCAGTCGGCTCTCGGTACTCACCCCACCCCACCCTCGCTCTCTTCACCCTAAGTGCTCTGGGCTCTAAAGCTGTTTTGACCACCTCCTGCAGACCCTGTACCCCTTTTCCCCTGCAGATCCCCCAAGCCCACCCCCGCACCCCCTCTCAGCCCTTTCCCGCCCCCAACCGACTCTTCTCGAACGCCCCTTACACAGCGCGAGGGCCACCCATTTTGCCTTTAGGCCACACCCCCCTACACCTCGCTCCGGGACCCTGGACGCCGCTCTTGACTGCGCCTGCGCAGAGCGGGCGGGTTGGCGGACCGCTCCAAAGCCAGATTTTACCCGGGAAGGGAGAGGGAAAGAGAGAGATTGGAAAAGAGGAAGAGAGGTGGGCGAGGGTGGGGGTGGGGCGGTGGATAGGTTAGAAAAGAAGGTGCACGCAGGCGCAGTAGGATCTAAATTGGAGCCAATTAAAGTGTTCAAGCATCTCCGCGCCCTGGCGGCTCCTCCCAATTCCGGGAACCCGGGAAAATTTGTGAACCAATCAGAAAAGGCGGAAGGCGGGAGTTCGGGGACCTTCCAGTGCGTTACCCAATGGAGCAGAGCCAGTTCAAGCGAACTGTCCAATAAGGGACGACATGGGGGGGGCGGGCTACCTCGGCGCGAAGTGCGGACCCGGGAATTCCAAAGGAGGGGTCGCGCCGACCCGCGCACGGAAGCCACGCCTCTCCTGGCCTGGGCACACTCGCTGTCAAACAGCTGCGGGAGCGCCGGCCCTGGCCGAGGAGCCGAAGGTGTCTCGGGGCCGCTGCAAAAGCCGGCACTGCCCGGAAAGGCGAGCACTCCGAGTTTGCACTGCGTGGGTAGTAGATCCTGAACCGGGCTGGGGCTGGGAGGGAAAGGGCTGAGTTTGCCTTGTAGGATCGCGGGGAGCTCCTTCCCCCGTTTTCATCCCACCGGGAGAAGCTGGGAAGCAGGGATTTAGATCCGCTGTCGTGGAGAATTTAGGCACCTTTTCGGAGGGTGACAGTGGATTCGCTACCCATGGGGTTCCAAACTAACTAGTTACGAGCGAGGATTGGCCAGAAAAGCGGGTGCGGGTGAGCAGAAAATACACCATTTGGCTAAGCAAGTTTGACAGGAAGCAAATTCTTTTCTCCGAATTACACCGACGTGATGCGCTCTGTTGCAGAGAAGCAAGCTGCCCTGCTCCAGTTTGCATTTCCCCAGAAGCTGCCTAACTGCATCATCATTGCTTTGCGCAGGTTGAAGGGGTCCCGAATATTTTGCTCCCTGAGCATCCGGCTCCACTGAAGTGCCATAGGGCGTGTTCCTGTTTTGACATTGCACAGAGGACCCTCACCGAATTGCAGAACTGCTGGACAGCCAATTTTTCATTGCATGCCTAGACTCCTTGCACCTTGAAAGTGCCCTACTCAGGGAGTGTGCTCCAAGTTGACGTTACACGAAGCACAACCCAGGTTTGCATCACACTGGGAAGAGAACTTGGACCAGCTGTACATGGCTCAGGAGTGAGAAAACTGATAGATTCCTGAAGTGGAATGAGGAGACGCACCGCCCATGCTGCCTTGCTTCCAGCTGCTGCGCATAGGGGGCGGCAGGGGCGGTGATCTCTACACCTTCCACCCTCCCACCGGGGCTGGCTGCACCTATCGCTTGGGCCGCAGGGCCGACCTGTGTGATGTGGCCCTGCAGCCCCAGCGGGAGCCTGGCCTCATCTCTGGAGTGCATGCAGAGCTGCACGCGGAGCGCCAGGGTGATGACTGGAAGGTCAGCCTGGAAGACCACAGCAGCCAAGGTGAGCAGTGAGCAGGGCGGCCTTGCTACTGGACAGCCACAGATCCAGGCTGGGATGATTAAGGGGCTCAATGGGGGCCCTGCCTGCCACCAGATTCCCAATATGGTTGGGTGGACATCATGGTCCATACCTTCCCACCAGAAGTGTCATGTCAGAAGCTGTCTGTAGAGCTGACCCCTAATGATCCTCTTTAGCTCATCCAAGGGAATGGGAAGTAGATCCAGGGCCTGGGGCATCAACAGGGGTGTATCAATAGGGTCTATCTGTGGCCATTGGGGCCAGACTCAGACTTGACACAGTCTCCAGGCTTGCTGAGGCACCTTATTTCTATTTTAGGGTAGTTATAGTATGTTGAATCACAGTTTAATAACTTGAGCATGCGTCTTTCTCCCTGACTGGAAGGCAGTAAAAATCTCAGCCTCGCCAGGGTTCACATCCCAGTTCTGCCACTGGCTCCTGGTAAAACTCAGTCCTCTCACTTCACCTCTCTGGGTGTTAATTTCCTCTTAGGTAAAATGTAAATCATAAGGTTTAGTGGGTCGGCTTTGGTAGTTGTGAGGATTACATAATTATAGTAGCCAACACTCATTTAGAACTTCCTGTTATGAGCCACTGTTTTAAGTGCATTGAGTGTAGGGGGGCGCATTAATATCCCCATTTTATAGACAGAAAAATAAGGCACAAAGAGGTTAAGAAACTTGTCAAGGTCATGGAATCGGTAAGTAGTGGAGCCAAGATGCAAAACCAGTCTGGCTCCAGAGCTATGCTGAGATATTAACTGTTCTGTTGGAGCTGGATGAGAGAGCTTCTACTGAAACATGGATCTCAAGAGTGAGGGCAGGATTCCATTCCCTCTATGTGCCCTGTGGGAGGGCACAAAAAAAAAAGAAAATGTATTCCCAGCTCACAAGGAAGGGCTGAGGGTCTTAGAATGTGAAGGTGGGAAGAATTTGATGACATTGTGCCATATTCTTGATGGACTCAGAAAATCAAACAGATCTAGATTTCTCCACTCCTGACTCTAGTTCTTTCTCTTTGTTTTTGTCATTCTCTATATCTAATTCATGCCCCATCATCCACAGGAACCTTAGTCAATAATGTCCGACTCCCAAAGGGTCACAGGCTGGAGTTGAGCGATGGTGACCTCCTAACCTTTGGCCCTGAGGGGCCTCCCGGAACCAGCCCCTCCGAGTTCTACTTCATGTTCCAACAAGTTCGAGTCAAACCTCAAGACTTTGCAGCCATTACCATCCCACTGTCTCGGGGAGAAGTGGGAATTGGGGGTGGTTTCCAGCCCATGCTGCCCTCTCAGGGGGCTCCACAGCGGCCCCTCAGCACCCTCTCCCTTGCCCCAAAGGCCACACTGATCCTAAATTCCATTGGCAGCCTGAGCAAGCTCCAGCCCCAGCCCCTCACCTTCTCCCGGGGTGGGGGTAGGCCTCAGAGCCTACCCCTTCCCACTCCCTCTGGAGAAGTGGGGACCACCCCTTCTGCCCCACAACCAGCCCCCAGAAACCGGAGGAAATCAGCTCACCGAGTATTGCCAGAACTGGATGATGAAAGAGGACCTCCTGAGAGCCTCCCACCCATCCTCATGGAGCCCAGGAAGAAACTCCGAGGAGAGAAAGGCCCAGTGACCCCCAATGGGTAAGGAGGAAAAGCCTCTCTTAATCTTCTCTTCTGACAGTATTTAACTGCCTTCTGTTTTGGAGGTCTAGGCCCTGAGGAGGCCTTCTGCTTGAGGGTAGGAATGGAGAGAGGAAGGCAGAGATGGAATCGATGGGATGGCAAGACCTACTGACAGAAAAAAAATATATTCAGGACAAAGCAAGAGTTAGGTGGGGTGGAGACAGTGGTTGTAAAATAGCGTGAACGAGTCAACATAGTTTATACTTTTACATTCAGACGTTTTCAACATCATTCTTCTAGTGCTTAAGGATGGGGAATTTCCAGGCTCACCCTATTAAGTTTTCAGAAACCGTTTCTAGGTCCACTCTACAGATGTCTTAATGAGTTTATCTAGGTTCAGCCTACAGGCTTCCAAGGAGTTTCCAGGTTTACCTTGTGGTTATCCGGGAATAATTTTGAGGCTCCTCCTACAGGTTTCCAGTGACCCTAGTTTTTGTCTTCCCCTCAACTTCCTAGAAACCGTCGTGGGCGTCCTCGGAAGCACCCAGTGAGCGCCCCCTTGGCCCCTCCTGCAGTTGGGGTTGGGGAGCCCTGTGCAGCTCCCCGCTGCTGCCTGCCCCAAGAAGAGACAGTGGCCTGGGTTCAGTGTGATGGTTGTGACACCTGGTTCCATGTGGCCTGTGTTGGCTGCAGCATCCAGTCTGCCAGGGAGGCAGACTTCCGATGCCCAGGGTGCCACGTTGGTATCCAGGCCTAAGGCCCAACACCATAGCACCAGTGGACAGAGCTGAGGCCTCCAGGTCAGGTGTCTAAACAGCGGGGTACGAAGGGATCCTAAAAAATGCCCCCTTCTTCCCTTCCCTCCCCAGGAGGGAATGACTCCAGGGAAGGGCCCATAGCCATGGATACTGATTCAGGGACTGGAGCAGGTGGTCATGGCCAAAGTTGACAGAAGAGATGTTTCCTGCCAAAGATATTGCCTCCAAGAAGTTGTAACCAGTGAACTGGAAATTCCCATTGGTACAGGCTGTAGGAACTTGTTGCCATGGACACCAGAAGGCCTGGAATCAGAGCATCTACCAATTGCAGAGGTCATGCCTGAGATGATGTCATAAGCCCCAGATTTCAACAAGTGGGTTCTTGGTGCCCTTTGATGGCATCATCTAAGGGATTCTGGGAAAACTCAGGACATGGCCCCAAAATTTCCCTACATTGTGGCTAGTCCTGCCCCTGTCCATGATCATCATGACATGGTTTTTGATTTTTGGATTTTCTGCTTCCATTTCTAAATAATAAAGCAACTTCATTCACACCGGCTCTTTACTGTTCTTTGGTATCTGGGTAAAGTCTGAAAATTGAATTCTTAAGGAAATGTGAGATAGGTATACAGAAATATTAACCACTGCCATTAAAATAAAGCAGCTCTGGTGGCGCTATGGTTAAGGCGTTGAGCTGCTAACCAAAAGGTCAGTGGTTCAAATCCAGCAGCTGCTCCGCTGAAGATGAGGCAGTCTGCTTCTATAAAGATCTACAGCCTTACAAACCCTGTGGGGGTCACTATGTGTCAGAATCAACTCATTGGCAGTGGTTTTTTTTTTTTTTTTTTTCCCACCCCAGCCCTTAAGATAGTTAGGATTTGGTTAAGCTTACGAAGAGGGCAGAATTTCTACAGGTTTCACTAGCACCAGCAGGGAAAGTGAATATCTGGTGCACCAGCAAAAGTAGATGCTGACCTAGTTTAGTATAGATTATCCTAATCCATTTGGTCCTTGTGATTTTCTGTGGTGCTTATCAGAGCATCGTTTTCTAGTTACTTTTACCAGAAATCAAGCTGATTCTGACTCACGGTGACATGTATTAGATCCCTGTATTGCATACGGTAGCTCTGGTAGCATAGTGGCTAAGGCACTTGACTGCTAACCAGAAGGCTGGTGGTTCAAACCCACCAGCCACTCCTCGGAAGG